GTCGATGGAAGGAGTGGCACGTTTGCGCGACATATTAAGCAATATTTTACGTTTTTATTTTTGCCTAAATCAATTCAGAAAACAAAAAATCCATGACATGAAACGCAAACAGAAAACCATTGCATGGCTCCGATGGTGGAAACCGCCACCCCTGACCTAATTAAAATCAAATTCACAGTGAAACAAACAACATAAAAAAAGAATGCACACAATTGGAGAATATGCCGTCGCATAATGGAAACACGTTTCGCATTCGCAGTGAGGTGTTGATCAATAACCGAACGCCACTAAATATGAGACCTATGCCGATAAGATCCCACAGCCTATGGCCTAGAACGGCAGAGCATCGTCGGCTTTTCATGTTAGGAAGACAGCCTAAAACTTGCGGCCTCTTTCAATTATGGTTCGCTGAGCGGTCAACATCGACAATTACTTTTTTTCCGCTCACAGACGCTTTACCTCCTCTATGCTCCGGGATATCAGGGAAAGGGTATGTTGCTTCCCTGGTGCTTCTCATAATAAATTCATCGCGGCATCTCACAATGGTTCACATAAAAAGAAATATACAGCTTGGCCGCGAATGCATGAAGTTTTGTATTATGCATCATACCTAATTGGGACTAAGGAAACATGGGACAAACGGGGTCCTTTTGAATTGGTAAGTACCACTTTTTATCTTTAGGGTTGCCGATACGGTTGTCGATCTCTGATGTCTCGCCGGTCCTCATAACTAGACTATTTATCTCAAGCGATGCACTCTTTTTTTCCTGAGCCTTTGCTGTCGCAATAGACATAATTAGTTCTCGTTCGTTACAGAAGTGCAGTTTTCTTTCCGCTGATATCATTGGCTCTAATATTCATTCGGTCTCTGAAAGTCAGAATCAACCGAACCTAAGCCAAACGACAAACGGGTTTGTGTGTGACAGCTCCACAGGCGTCGAGAAATGAAGTAGAAGTTTGATCCTTAATCTTCATCATTAAAGGATGCGCTATTGCGAAAAAATCTGAAGATTTTGAAGGAAAAAAAAAGTGGTTTTTCTCGCCATCCTGTTCCAGTCTGAGGCAGATCGGAGGGACACGCTCGCCGATCGGTTTCCCTCATGATGTCGGCCAGTGTGGAGGAATGAGTGTTCCCTATCCCGGCTGAGCAAACACGGTTGAGTCGACTCCTTTCCTATGCATGGTCCATCCCTCATCTAGGGCAATAGAACCGATAACGGTTCCTCTTGGTTGAGGTCAGGCCAATTACAGGGTGGGCCGAAAAAAGAACAAAGCTGTCATTTTTATTGAGTCGTCAATCAGGCCTACAAAATCGTTACATTGGCCTACATATCGAATGCCACCATTACCTGCAAGAGGAGGATATGCTTGTCTATAGATCATGCGCATTCCTTTCTTCTTGGCAGTTTTTGCTCCTCAGCGAAAATATGAAAATATAAATGGCAGCCTCCTTTTCCAGTGAAACCAGGAGGCAGCGCTGCTCGTGGGATAGGCTTGCTTCGATATACGTGACTTCCCCTGCACTTCACTCTCCTATTATCATGGGCTTTTTCATTACTGGCTGCCATTTGGGATTTTTTGCTAATACTGCTTCATGAATGTCTTCAGAGGCATTTTGCGCTTTACTTCTCAAAAATCAAACTGATCAAAGCGTTGCAGCATTACTGCGAAGAGAACAATATAATCTATTATATTAATCCAGTTCTTCGGGTTTCCCTGCGTAAACGTTTTGGTATTATTGTACTTGATATTACGATTTGTTAAAACACGCTCTAAGAAAGTAAACACCAGAAGGATATGTTTAAATTAAAAAAAAGAATGTACTTCTCAATAAAAAAAGGTAAAGGACCAATGACCGATTTGTAAACAGGGATGAGGCGGAAAGTGTCTCGGACTCATGGGAGACGGATTTGTGCCCAAGAGTACGTTTGTTGACGGGGCATGGAAACATCATTTTCGTGACGAAAGAGATGTATTACTAAAATAGCGACGGGTAGAAACTTATTGGAAGGGTGAGAGGGAATGGCTTGTCGTAAACAGTGTAGTTATGAAGATCCACGATGCAGATTTCCCTACATTCGAGGCTGATTCATCTCCCGGGCCAAAAGTAAGCTACTTTTCCTTAGGAGAATACGTTCCCAGAACGTAGCGACTTCATACTACAACAGGCAAAATGGATACGAACTCAGTCCTTCATTCTCTCTGGATGAGGAGTGGAAGGGCAGAATTTGCGGACAATCCGTACAACATTATGAGTGGACCATTCCCTAAAAGGTGATTTATTTGACACATTAAGAGGAAGATGAACTTCCAAATGGTACACTATCTCCTATCCATAATAGAGGTACTGCACTGTGCATGACCATGTATTACACCAGTACTGGCTTAGTCCTGTTGAGGGGAACATCTCAATGACTGGGTAAGGAGATGACGTATGTGGTACGAAATGATTATTGGAATAGTTCAATATAGGCATGATTTTAGGTACAACTCAGAGCCAGTGAAGCCGTTGCTTTTTTTCTTTTTGCGTTTCAAAACAGGCAGTTTATGAACCAGCTCGGATTGAAATACGTGCAACACGTTTTGCTGCAAAAACGTGTGGGAAAATAAAAAAAAGGGGAATTGAAAAAAAATCGAGGCTAAGATGCAGAAAGAATATATTTCCCTCACTGCATTTGTTGCCTCCGATGGTATATGATCATTGGGAGAGAAATTTCGTTGCTTTGTAGGGCGAAATATTCATGTGTATGTAAGTCAACGTTCGTCGCGGAAAGCACCTTTATTTGAAGAATCGGTGCTGTTGCCAGGCATCATCGAGATAAGCATTATCAGCGGCCATAGGCGTATGGCAGAGAAAGGTCGTAATTAGGATAATGAATTTATTGATTGACCGAGGTGCAATGATAGTAGCGATAGCAAGCCGATGTCGTGCGCGTATCCAAGGGATTATCGACCACGCAAAGGGGCCAGGATAATGGCTAACGAAGGTATCAACATCTCTTTGTCCACCCAACCATTAACTCGAGCATGCATGGCTCGCAGCGTTTGGGAGACTTTCTCACTTCAGTTTCACCGTGCCAATACTTCTAATATATATAGACGATCGTGACTGACTGACTGACTGACTGACGCTAATTCTAACCATGTTCTAGACATGATGAGAGGCTGAAACTTGGTACACACATAGCTGTTAGATTGCTGACTCCAGAAAAATTCCAACTTTGGGGGTAAGTGCCCTGGGGGCTCATTCCAGGGGGTCTCATTTTGTAAGCCTAGGTCTAACACTCAGACGGACGCTTAGGCCTAAGCCATTCTCAGGCTCCCCTTGCCTTCAACGAAACGGAAGGAACGTGAGTAGCTNACTTCGGATAACTCGAAACGATTTGCCCGGTCCCTAAAAGTTCGAGTTAACGAGTTTTCATTGTATGTGGTACGAAATGATTATTGGGATGGTTCAATATAGGTATGATTTTAGGTACAACTAGGGCCAGTGAAGCCGTTGCTTTTATCTTTTTGCGTTTCAAAACAGGCAGTTTATGAACCAGCTTGGATTGAAATACGTGCAACACGCTTTGCTGCAAAAACCTCTGGAAATATGAAAAAAAAAGTCGTAATGAAAAAAAAATCGAGGATAAGATGCAGAAAGAATGCATTTCCCGCACTGCATTTGTTGCCTCCGATGGTATATGATCATTGGGAGAGAAATTTCGTTGCTTTGCAGGGCGAAATATACATATTCATGTGCATATAGGTCAACCGTTCGTCGTGAGCGCGGAAAGAACCTTTATTTGAAGAATCGGTGCTGTTGCCAGGCATCATCGAGACAAGCATTATCAGCCGCCGTAGGCGTAGGGCAGAGAAAGGTCGTTATTACGACAATTTATCTGTTGATTGACCGAGGTGCAATGATAGTAGTGATAGCAACCCGATGTCGTGCAGATATCCAAGGGATTATCGACCGCGCAAAGGGGCCAGGATAAGGGCTAACAAAGGTATCCACATCTCTTTGTCCACACAACCATTGACTATAGCATGCATGGCTCGCTGCGTTTGGGAGACATTCTCACTTCAGTTTCACCGTGCCAATACTTATATGTATATATATATATATATATCACGTCAAAACACGTTTAAAGTTCTTGTGAAAGAGCAGCACTAGAGCAAGCCGAGGAACGATTCGTGAAAAGAAATAGAAAATTAAAGATGTGGATTGGATGATTAATCATCATTATCAGCGACTCTCAACTTACCATCTGGGCGTAATACACATTACGTTTGCAAGAAAATGATCGTGATGAGAGAAAAGTGAGGTAAATACGCAGATTCCAAGGCGAAGCACCTGCAGGTGCGAGAATCTTTCTGCTCATATGTATCGATCATAGAAGGCAAGATCGAAGGCAGCGCTCCGGGCTGCTTTGTTAGTTGAAGTCATATCGCCAAAATCATATTCCAAAGGAAAGCGTGAATTCATGACACTCTTCCACGACTCGGCATCCCTTTCCTCGTTGTCTCTCCCTGCCAGACATGATATAGATGAAATTACACCCTGCATCGGTTGTACCAAATGGATCAAATCTGTATGAACTCACAGGTGAGAATGACCCGCCGCTTCGACCCCATGTTCTCGCTTCGTGGCTTCCTCCAGCCGTACAGCAAGAGGTCCAGGATCCATTCCAGCATTTCCAGGACGGTGATGAAGGAGAGCCCGGTGTAGAGACCCAGCAATCCTCCCAACATGCCGACGAAGCTCCCCCACTGTTCCGGAAGTGTATGTATTACTACTAAGGCAGATTTTATTGATGTCCAGAACCGATTCCTAAAAATATATATTTTACTTACTGGGTACAACAGTTGCTGCGTAAGTTCCTCCGCTGACAATACCTCATAGTAGATGTTCACAACAGTGATATGGTCTCTGATGAAAAAAAGAATACAAACCTAGACTGATACGTATCTCTCCTTCATGGGCATTGCGATTAAATTGTAAGTATTCCAAACAGGCTGATTTCATGTTCCCATCTTAGCGCATCTCACCATTCACCTTCCACGTCGATTAGGCTCTCTGATTTTTTCAGAAATTATGCTGAAAATCATCCAAAGACTTCCTAAAAACCGTATTTTGATGATGAATGCTGGTAAATTACCCGGGACGATGGGAGTATGTCTGTTCCCTCAGCTCGGGTCCGTAGGAAATCGCATTTTTATATCTCATCCAAGTGATTAGATCCATGAGCAAGCCTTTCTCGCGACTCATCTGCACCGATGACGATGACCATTGGAATTTCTCCTCTCTGAAACGGAATTTGCCTTGCCACCAACTTCTCATCACCGTGTATAGAACTCGAGATCCCTAGGTTTTTTACTTACGTGCAGGGCTGAGGACAATTGCAGATATCACCGCCTTCATTGAAAACCTTGTATGCCATTTCTGCCTCGAACGCTTTCGTTTGGGGAATGATCGATAAGAAAATTGCAGGAAGAGCTTAAAATGAGACTTATAAAATTATGCCGTTATTCTGATCGCTCTGAAAACCAAGATGTAGGACATGACTAAGGCTGTCATCATGCCTAAAAAAAGGGTAGTGCCAAATTCCTCACCTGTCTCGTTCATCCATTTGTAATCAGAAGTGATTCGCAGAAGGGAATCATCCCAGCCCCATCGATTGGCTCTAGGAATCAGTTGAAGGAAGCACATTCTGAGGCACAGCTGATGGAACATAAAAAAACTCAAGGTGAATGGATTTTCGACTCGTTGACTTGGGAAATCCAAAAAATGAAGTCGTTTGCACCTGCTTGGAAAACTTCCGTTTCACTGAGAAATTGAAGATCTCGGGGTCGAATCGATTTTCCAAGTATGATTCAGTAGCACAATTTCCCCCTTGGTCTGGAGGAAGTCTTTCCATCACCGTTTTCCGCACGCCGATGTAGGAAATCATTTCCATATTTACATCAAATCCCTCTTCAAGGGGGTTGGGTTGTAACCCAGGAGGATGAATCATGACCCTGAAACCATCGGATGGGGAAAGAAAGATCTCGTCGTTCGAGGAGGATGATGTCAGTATGAGTTGAAGCCCTTCCTGTGGAAAACGAGTTGGGGTGTATTGACGAGGAGGCTAAACGGTTTTAAAATATTACTTTCGAGAGGATCTTACAGAGGGTTTCATTCCCTTGAAGAAGCTGTAGTCGTTAATAAAAAATTCCGAGGACTGGCTCCCACTTCTTGGGTTTTTCTGGGTAACTAAACTAGGCAAACGGTGCACCCACTTCTGTTCCGTGAAGGGTATGCGGAGGCAAAGGTGAAGACTTTTCAGGGACATTTAAAGTTCCTTAGTGACAGAAAAATAAATTGAAAAGAGAAATAAGTTCTTACAGTTGAACTTTCGTGTCTTGTCATATTTAAATTGATACGCTTCGTCGGAATGAAACAAGAACATGTCTTCAAAAAATGGCGGCACGAGGACTTGCGAATTACTGCTGCACATGAACGTCTTAAAGTTATATGGAAGACTTGTGCATGTGGAATGGAAAATGTCCTCACTCATCATTGCAAAGTTCCCCATTGAAGGTGCAATGTCGCACTGACTGCTTCATGACTTGGAAATCTCCTAAAAGTTCCCTCGGCAGGTAGTCTTTATCCGGCAGGGAGCCATCCAAGCGGTAGAAATCAAAGAAGTTGTTCTGGAGCCAAGAGGAATTTTCACTCACTGCGGCAATATAAAAAAATATATATATATAGTCACACATGAAAAGAAAGTGTTAGAGTAAAATATGCAGGTGTCTCAAGAATATGTATCAGGTCATCCCATAAGTAATGTTGTTTTTTCGCATTGCCAAAATTATTTATTTTTTATACGTGTATTTGTGCACATCCTTTGGAACAGTTCTATGCTAACTTGTGTAGACGTTAGTCTTCAGTCTACGTGTCGGTTTTCACGAGTTAACAGCTCTTTTTTTCTTTGACGTTGAAAACAAAAATGGAGGTGTCGGAAGAACACATTAGGCATATAATTATTCATCAATTTAAGAAAGGGAATAACACGACTCCAGCCACGGAAAAAATGCAAGATGGTAAAGATGAGGAAGTTCTAAATGCGAGGAAATGCCAACGTTGGTTCCGGAAATTCAGGTCTTATGACCACAGCTTAGCAGATGAAGCGCGTTCAGGCCGACCTGTTGAGTTCGATGATGACCAGCTGATAGCCACACAAGAAAAAGATCCTGCTGTAACTGTTGAAGAACTTGCTCAGAAACCCAATAAGAAAAGAAAAACGGAGCGCTGTTAAATCGTTAAAACCAACACGTAGAATGAAGCCGAACGTCTATGTGTACATATACACGTATTAATATAAACAAGGCACAAGTTAGGCAATGCAAAAAAAAAATACATTACTTATGGGATGATCTGATTGATTCAACGTGGTTGAGACCGTGCGTAAACAGATGCACGGTGTGAGGCGTTACGGCGGACGATGCGGGAAGGTTCATCCGAGGCATTCTTCTTCTACCATCGCCTCCGGACCACGACGAATGGCCAGGGGTGTGGAGGTCTGGAGAAAAATCCACTGCGGTTCTGGATTTCAATTTTGTCTGGGAAGGAGAGTCGAAGGAGTGTGTGGTCGGCCGTGTTGTCTGTAAGGGGTTGTCAATTGTCGTAAGACAGATCGTCTCTGCAGAAGAGTATGTGTACTCTTATTGGTTGGTCAGAACCATATCTGACCTGCATACGAGAGACGCGAGGAATAATCCCATCATGCTTTTCTTGGCGTGGGCAAGGACTCTGTGTCTTTATGAACGATGAGTACTTTAAAGAGCTGGGAACCGGATTTTAAACTTACCGGACAGTTCTGCAAAGGGGTTGATGGAGACGTTTTTATTTCCACTCCCGTCATCGTTTTGCTCAGTATCGTTGAGGGAAGAAGACACATTTGCCGATGATTCTTGTCTTATGAGTTCTCCGCTTGATAGTAGTTCCAGCAGTCTTTTCATTTCCAGATTGAATTCCGCGAATTTTCTGAATCCGTTCCAATACTCTGAATCATCACTCTGGTTCACGAAGACAGGGTTGCGACGGCAGATCGTGACGGCCGGGAAGGAGAGAGGCTCCCCTCCTACCATCTAGCGGAAGTTGGCAGGATTTCGCGCTTCCATGTTTCAAGGAAATATAGATAAACGGTAAGACTGGAATTCGCCATACCTGAGACGTGGTTATCGTCCGGCCGGACATATACATATTGATGGTATCGATGATTCCGTATGTCATGTATCCTGTAGCGCAGAGGAATACCGAAAACCAAAAAAGCTTTCTGAAGCGAGAGGAGTCCGTATATACGGTACGACCTAGGGCCTGGATAGAGACAAACATGCAATCGTCAATGTTTACATATGTATTGACACTACTATTCTGAGTCCAATGGATCCTGATTTGAGGAAAAAAAATGCGTAGCTAATTACGTAGGCTGCGGCGTAAAGTTGAAAAGTCCAAAATTCAGCGTATTTTCTAGCATTATTTCTAGTGACTGTATGGACAATATTGGAAGCCCTCCTTGTGGAAGGAAACGTTTTTTAAAGGCTCACTGGAAGCCCCCCCCCCTCCCTTTGACCAGGTTCGCATTAGATGTATTCATTCAAAATAGCATCTGCTTTAAATTTTATTGGAGCCAGTGAAACAGACGCCCAAGTTCTTATCCCAGGCGAAAAATAAAAAAAAATGTAAAAGGATGAGGAATTGTGTTAGGCGGCGGGGGGGGGGGGGGGGGNCTTCCTGTGGAAAACGAGTTGGGGTGTATTGACGAGGAGGCTAAACGGTTTTAAAATATTACTTTCGAGAGGATCTTACAGAGGGTTTCATTCCCTTGAAGAAGCTGTAGTCGTTAATAAAAAATTCCGAGGACTGGCTCCCTGAAGAACCCAAAAAGACCCATTGATTTGATCCGTTTGCCACGTGGGTGAAGACAAGGCACTTCCCATACGCCTCCGTTTCCACTTCTGAAAAGTCCCTGTAAATTTCAAGGAATCACTGTCTTTTTGTAAATTGAAAAGAGAAACAAGTTCTTACAGTTGAACTTTCGTGTCTTATCATATTTAAATTGATACGCTTCGTCGGAATGAAATAAAAACATGTCTTCAAAAAATGGCGGCACGAGGACTTGCGAGTTACTGCTGCACATGAACGTCTTAAAGTTATATGGAACACTTGTGCATGTGGAATGGAATCCTTACTCATCATTGCAAAGTTCCCCATTGAAGGTGCAATGTCGCACTGACTGCTTCATGTCATGGAAATCTCCTAAAAGTTCCCTCCGCAGGTAGTCTTTATTCGGCAGGGAGCCATCCAAGCGGTAGAAATCAAAGAAGTTGTTCTGGAGCCAAGAGGTATTTTCACTCACTGCCGCAATACAAAAAAATAAATATATATATATAGTCACACATTAAAAGAAAGTGTTAGAGTAAAATATGCAGGTGTCTCAAGAATATGTATCAGGTCATCCCATAAGTAATGTTTTTTTTTTCGCATTGCCAAAATTATGTATTATTTATGCGTGTATTTTTGCACAGTTCTATGCTAACTTGTGTAGACGTTAGTCTTCAGCCTACGTGTCGATTTTGTCGAGTTAACAGCTCTTCCTTTTTTTCTTTGACGTTGAAAACAAAAATGGAGGTGTCGGAAGAACACATTAGGCATAAAATTATTCATCAATTTAAGAAAGGGAATAACGCGACTCCAGCCACGAAAAAATGCATGTTAAAGGTGAGGAATTTCTAAATGCGAGGAAATGCCAACGTTGGTTCCAGAAATTCAGGTCTGGTGACCACAGCTTAGCAGATGAAGCGCGTTCAGGTCGACCTGTTGAGTTCGATGATGACCAGCTGATAGCCACACAAGAAAAAGATCCTGCTGTAACTGTTGAAGAACTTGCTCAGAAACCCAATTAGAAAAGAAAAACGGAGCGCTGTTAATTCTTTAAAACCAACTCATAGAATGAAGCCGAACGTCTACACAAGTTGGCATAGACAAATTACATGGGATGTGTACATATACACGTATAAACAAGGCATAAGTTAGGCAGTGCAAAAAAAGCATTACTTATGGGATGATCAGATTGATTCAACGTGGTTGAGACCGTGCGTAAACAGATGCACGGTGTGAGGCGTTACGGCGGACGATGCGGGAAGGTTCATCCGAGGCATTCTTCTTCCACCATCGCCTCTGGACCACGACGAATGGCCAGGGGTGTGGAGGTCTGGAGAAAAATCTACTGCGGTTCTGGATTTCAATTTTGTCTGGGAAGGAGAGTCGAAGGAGTGTGTGGTCGGCCGTGTTGTCTGTAAGGGGTTGTCAATTGTCGTAAGACAGATCGTCTCTGCAGAAGAGTATGTACTCTTATTGGTTGGTCAGAACCATATCTGACCTGCATACGAGAGACGCGAGGAATAATCCCATCATGCTTTTCTTGGCGTGGGCAAGGACTCTGTGTCTTTATGAACGATGAGTACTTTAAAGAGCTGGGAACCGGATTTTAAACTTACCGGACAGTTCTGCAAAGGGGTTGATGGAGACGTTTTTATTTCCACTCCCGTCATCGTTTTGCTCAGTATCGTTGAGGGAAGAAGACACATTTGCCGATGATTCTTGTCTTATGAGTTCTCCGCTTGATAGTAGTTCCAGCAGTCTTTTCATTTCCAGATTGAATTCCGCGAATTTTCTGAATCCGTTCCAATACTCTGAATCATCACTCTGGTTCACGAAGACAGGGTTGCGACGGCAGATCGTGACGGCCGGGAAGGAGAGAGGCTCCCCTCCTACCATCTAGCGGAAGTTGGCAGGATTTCGCGCTTCCATGTTTCAAGGAAATATAGATAAACGGTAAGACTGGAATTCGCCATACCTGAGACGTGGTTATCGTCCGGCCGGACATATACATATTGATGGTATCGATGATTCCGTATGTCATGTATCCTGTAGCGCAGAGGAATACCGAAAACCAAAAAAGCTTTCTGAAGCGAGAGGAGTCCGTATATACGGTACGACCTAGGGCCTGGATAGAGACAAACATGCAATCGTCAATGTTTACATATGTATTGACACTACTATTCTGAGTCCAATGGATCCTGATTTGAGGAAAAAAAATGCGTAGCTAATTACGTAGGCTGCGGCGTAAAGTTGAAAAGTCCAAAATTCAGCGTATTTTCTAGCATTATTTCTAGTGACTGTATGGACAATATTGGAAGCCCTCCTTGTGGAAGGAAACGTTTTTTAAAGGCTCACTGGAAGCCCCCCCCCCTCCCTTTGACCAGGTTCGCATTAGATGTATTCATTCAAAATAGCATCTGCTTTAAATTTTATTGGAGCCAGTGAAACAGACGCCCAAGTTCTTATCCCAGGCGAAAAATAAAAAAAAATGTAAAAGGATGAGGAATTGTGTTAGGCGGCGGGGGGGGGGGGGGGGTAGAAAAAGGGGGGGGGAGGGGTGGGGGGGGGGGGGGGGGGGGGGGGAGTAGGTAGGAACTTTGGAACCCCCTCCCCCCCCCCTATGAAAAATTTCTGTATCCGCCCCTGCTGGAAGCATTAGCAGGTGCTAATAAGAGAAAAGTCTTAACTGACTCTCTGATGGTGAGTTTTTCCTCTTGCAGTTTCCTCAAGTGAGACAGATGGAAGAATGCGCGCAAGTAAGAAAAGTATCCAAGATGTATCCAAGAACCTACGGGAAACTTGTTATTCCTTCGAAAGAACTAAACATGCAAAACGATAAGAACCAAGTTTTAAAAAGAAGATAAAAACGACTTACATGCCCGCTGAATCTTTCGAAAAATCTGACGGTGAGTGGACGAACACCGACAGTTTCATCTCCTTCGCCCTCGATCTGAATATATACCTCTCTTCTCCTTTCATCGTGATGAGAAGTCACCTTATTCGACAACATCGTCCTGGAGAGTTGCTACATCTGCAGCTCGTTGTCTCGGATCGAATTATCGAAATGAAGGTGAACTACGGGCTTGGAGAGGTGCAACTTCTTCTGGGGCGGAGAGAGGGAAAGACGATATACGAACCCCTTATATGACGGATTGTGCAAATAGTTTGGTGTCGCATGCGCTTCATATCCTTCCAATCGGCGTCTTTCTCTGTCGGTTTCGTCCATGAATGGGTCCATAAAATAAGGGAAGGTGCTGCTTATTCATCTCTGCAACTCCCTGACATATGTCAACATAAGCGGTTGGGAGAATCAGGACCCCCTCCCCCCCGAATTCTCGTCAGTCAAGAATCCGATATTACTTCATTAACACTGGGAATAACCCCACATTGATACGTGACAGAAACCATTAAAGAACCATTTCCACGGGAAATCTGAGAGTGATTCCTGGAGCTACCATAATCTGCGACAGTTGAGTTCTGAGTTCATCTGAGTTGACAGGGCAGAGCATAAACGTTACTACCTAGGACATTAACATGATCATGGTCAAGCAATAAAGTATAACGCACATTTAGTGGACAACTCTCTAAAAGTCGAAGTTCGGATTGGAACCATTTTTGGAAACTTTTGTAGAACCATTTTCGCGAAATCTGGTCAGCTCCTGGAGTTACCAGGATCTGAGGACTTCAACACGGCAGCTGATGAATGATCTGATTCAATCGCGTGATCACTCCCACGAGGACCTGTTGAGTAAAGATCGTGAAAAAAATGGTTCAAATGATAAAAAGTAACAGTCTTCCCGAGCCCCATTTTTAATACTTGAAGAGCTACCGAGTAGTTATTTCAGGTCATTATGCCAAATGATTTTTTCTGTGAACTTAAAACGATGAAGAAAAAAAAAACAGTTTCTCGATCGCCGAAAACCGCTCCGAAAGCGTACAGGCATCTGAGGGTTCTAGGTTGAACTGCTATTTTTTTTCACGGTGATTCATTTCGCCATGTGGAAATTAAACTAGCTCTTGTTCATTTAACCTCAGCGTGATGGCCTCCGCACCGCAGTGGTGCCGCAGTTCGGTCAGATTTATGACTGCGTCGGATTTCTCCGCTCTTATTACGGACAACACTTACGAAATTTAACGAGCAGGTACTGCTGGTCGTATCGCAGATCAAAGGTGGACGCTAGGGCGATCCCCAAACAATTCTAGGCCGATTAATAATGTCGAGAAAACTTAATTTGGAAATAATACAAACAAGGGTAGCGATCCCGGCTGCAAATGGTTCTAGACTCGACCTATGCCCTGAGCACCTTACGACAGGGAGACTGTCTCCGACGCGAAACAGTCTCGACCCCGAATCCTGTTGTGACACCTGGCCCGATACTTAGACCCGACCTAAGACCTGAGTAATCTCGTGACACCGCCGACACGAAAGAGCCTCCTCTTTAGCCCTGCATTCCGGACGGGATAATCGATAATCAGGCACGAACGAGGCCCTGAACTCTGTCGGGAGATCCGATCGGAGGGCGTAGCGCTCGGTACGGGCCATCTCGCCCACTGATCCTGACACTTCATTTTCCCCGCATCAGTTCGGGTGGGGGCTACTACCGATTTGCATGGAATTTTCATGCGAATTACATAGCATTTTATTTCCTTTTTACAGGAAGCCCATGATTATGAAAATGCACAATAGAATTTGCCCTAGAATACAACGTTAGATGTGCAGCCTGGGCTATGGCATACAATAATGACTCTGAGAGTCATCGCATATCCAAACGGGAATATAGAAGAGAACCCGCGAGAGACAAATTAACAGACGGAGATGAAAAACTTTTGAAAACAGGAACTCTCCAGAACAGTCTACCCTGTGGTGGGAAAAGAACATCGACGCGAACTGATATCACGGAATAGATTCTTGCCAGGATTCACCTGAGCCCTAATAAGCCTTTGCCCATCCGTTCATCTCTTAGGTGTAGGGCGAGCACATTTAAGGTGAGCACGGGTAATGAATTGAGAAAACGACGGCGAAGTAGTGGAGTAATGGTAAGGGGGAAACAAAACAGCATTCGAACTCTTCCCTGACGCAAAGCCGAAATCGCACCGAGCTTTCTCGACCGCCCACGAAAGAACCCACTGGCTTCCACCGATACCGAATTGGTAGCGTCTAACATCATTATCACGTTCTGATTCATTCTTCGATGTATTTTCTCGTAAACCTCATCCTGGTTTCATGTTTTGGGCGGTATTGAACGCATGGTGTCTTACATTAGGTGAAAGATGCGAAGGGACGAGGAAATTTGACACAGGTGGCATATGATTTCCCACAGTTATCATACTAAGATAGCTGTTATCTTAGATAAGAAGAGAGATTGACCGTGAGGGCAGTCATATGAATGGCAGTGTGGTTCTAATCAAGTGTTTTTGTGCTGCTCAGCGTTCACTCCGCCTTCGGCTTCAGGAAAGGTTGATTGCCCTGAGGCGTCTTCAAGCACTGCAACGATGGCAGGAGAAAAGAAAATTTGGCTGGAAAATGCCAAGAATTTCGTGGCCGAGACGTTCCCGGAGTGGGAAACAAAGACACGAGTCCTTCCACCATTCAGCGACGGCATTCGCCCATCCCTCGTGACTTTCCTCTCTGCAATGGGAGAGAATAGCAGGGAGCCCATGTTCATCGTCTGTATCAGGGACGTGAAGCAAATGACGGAAACGCGTTGCACTGGAGGATTGTACGAGCGATTGGAAGATATTCAGGGAAGTGATCACGCCGTAGTCGTGATCGATAAGCTCCGGGGTCTGTTCCTCATCGACGTCTGCCACATCGACGAGACCCAGGAGTCGGGCGATTCGAGGCTCCAACGCATGCAAGAGAAGTGCGACGACGCCAAGTCGCATTTCAAACAGCTGATGGCTTCGCTGAAGGAAGTCGGGATGGAGAACAACCAGCGGAAAAAGTGCTTACCCTTCCACTTCCCCATGATCGCATTCCCACGAGTCGGAAAGAAAGGGAAAACTCCCCAAAACGCCCTTGTTCTCTACAAAGAGGAGTGCGAAACCCAGGCTGTCTTCGAATCCTGGTGGAATGAACGTGTCGTCGAAAATCCGGAGGTCAAGAAATCGGGCCTTCACCAGGATACTTATAAGACGTTATTGGCCATGTACGTTCTTAACCTCGTCCTAAATACTGTTAACTACAAGTTCTAAAAGAGTTTTCTCATTAGTCTAGAAAATAACGAATGCGAATGAGAATTTTGTTGGCTTTCTAGCTAAGTCTAGTTCGCACTTGAATGTGCGAACTTGGAAATGGCGTACTTAATTATCTGCCATTCCCATAGATTCTATGGGGAAATGGCAGATATTGCAGTCGATCTCTCACTTTTTTTCATTCTATTTTTTTAATATTCTGTCTATCCGCAGTATCCATAACAACCAGAAAATACGACCCACTGCGCATGTGCAGCTTTTCGCCTAGGTCGGGGTGCCCTCTTCCACTAAAACCTCCACTTTCTTTCCAGCCCTCGCGGCTGGCAGATCCATAGTAGACAATTGGAGAGAGGGCTGCTCGTGGCCACTTAGACAGGGTTGATAGGTTTTTCTCATTTCGTCTGTCCGCAGTTACCATAACGACCGAACAACATGACACAATGCGCGCGCACAGCTTTCCGCCTGGGTCGGGGTTCCCGTTTTACAAGAAAACATCCACTTCCCTTCCAGCCCTGACGGTTGATGGATCCATAGTAGACAATGAAGGATAGCGGGTGCTCCCGGCCGCGTAGACAGGGTTGTTAGGCACATGCGTGAAAACCCGTATCTGGCATCCTACACGTCATACTGTCCTCCCATATTCACACGATGCGGACGTTCAGACCATCGATAACATGTATTGTTGTCCAGGCCTTTTCATATTGGCCCACGTCGAACCAATGACAGCTATTACTTATTCCAAGGTTGGATGGTTAGGACGCGATGAATATATATAATGCATCCAGTGGTGTAGGGGCCAATGGGATGGGAGATCTGTACCTGGGTTAGTACTCTCAAGTTAAATTTGTATATGATTTCGCAACTTTCTGCACATATTTCGTTGGTGAGCAATACCATGGTAGTGAATTATCAATGCAGACATGGATGCCAAATGTCATATATGCCCAACCTCTTCGTTAGTAAAGAGTTTCATGGTCAAATAAATTCTCCTGAACCATACTTATCAGATGATTAATTACTCAAACCGTTTCAACGAGGCATTCTTCAGCTTATTTCTTGTGCTGATATATATGCAATGCTGATTTCTTAAAAAATTAGTGGGTCCTCTAAGTGAAGCCGTTGCGAGAACATCATTGAAGTAAGTGAAACAAAAAGCAAATGTGAAAGCATGCATTTTCTCATTTCCTTTTTTCAAGATTTGCTGCACCACTTTACGTGACTCCATCTTCGGAGACCAGCGGAGTAAGTCTTAATTTCCTCACTGATGAGGAATTGGACATCCTCGTCAACGAGCCGACCAAGTGCCTCATCAAAGGAGACTCGGCAGATAAGAATATGAAGCTGATGAAGGAGAAGGTGAGGAGCGTCGCGACGAGGTGGTTCGCGCGGAGACCCATCATCGAGTCGGAGCGGATGCTCGTCGTTGGCCCCTCGAAAGACGTCGTGGACCAGCTGAGTGAGGCGATGCCGGAGTGGATCGTGAGGTCTGCGGTGGCAGCCTATTCCACTCGGACCAGTAAATCGGAAGAATTAAAGTATGAGAGGGTCCGGGGCTTGATTAATGCAAATTTGACTTTCTGCACGCTCAACCCTGAGGACATCACAAATGAGACGATGACCTTGATTGCAGATACTATCGCTGCCAGAAAGTCCATGGTGGCTGGGAACTCCAAGCAATCTGAAGAGAAAGCTGGCGATGGTTCAGAAGTTAAGGAACTCCCAGATAACTTGAAGGAAACACAACATACTGATGCAGACGGAATGAGTGAAGAGACGGAGACAAAGCTGTTAGAACTGTCAATGCTCCTGAGATACACGGAGTCAATTTTTCTTCCCGACCAAGAGAAAGGTAGGGAAGAGAGACTTCCAGCAGAAAGTAACGACAATGATCTTGAAGCAGAAGCTCTCGTAAGCGAAATGTCCAAGGAAAAGGATGTACGTTCCAGCTGCAAAAAGCCCTCCGTCCATGAAGACGGCAACGGAGGAGCCACGGCCCTAAAAATAAGTTTAAAAAATGAGCGATCTGCAGAGGCATCGATGCCTTCTGCAGAGATGGAAGTGATTCAACCGCTGAGGTGCCTCACGAATGGAATAGGTCTTGCAAGCTTGTTGGAAATGCTCTCCCTTACGAGTCAAGAAAAGAGCATCAGTGAGAATGAGGACACTAAAGAAGAGGTCCGGAAGCTACACATACCTCAGCTGCAAGCATTCCAAGAGAGTAAAAAGAAATTTGATCATGTATTTGTGATTGGGATCCAAGAACTCTATCAGAATTTCTACACCCTCTGGTTTCATGACCTCTGTGCCCTTCACCTCGGTCATGCCAAAGGACATTTTTGGTTATTCAGCACGGAAGACGCGCTCCCTGGCAATCTGAATGAAGAATTCAATTCATATCCAGTGAAAGGTTAGAATTTTCAGGATATCTCTATTGTAATGATTGCCCAATAAATGTTCGCATGAAGCGGACTGTCGCGTCGAGCTTCTGCACGGCGCGGATTCGTTTACATAACTCAAATGCTGATCCTTCGGACGCGGAAGCTCAACTCGAACTCATCTTGTCAGGTCATTTCGTCGTCTCTAATCATGGTTATTGTTACACAATAATCAAATAATCCAATACCTCTCTCTATTACACAATAATCCAGGGTGTTTTGATATGTATTGCTCTAGAATAACGTATTATGCACGATCAATAGGTCGGATCAGGATACTTCCTCAATCGATTTTAGAGAGAGCATGATTTGAGATGCATAAAAACCGGCAAAATAAATGGCGCCAAGAGACAGGGTTATACATGGCTATTAAATGAAGAATTATACGGAAACACCTAGTCAAACATCAAAGAACATAAACCATTTAGTAAACAGCGCACAGAGATCCCAGAAGTTCCTGCAGTTCTGCGAGTTAGTAACAGTTGCATGAAATTGCTCCATATTGCCCGGTTCTTTGGAGACGAATATTGTTTTCCAGGGAACAAACGTTATAGATGCTGAACGTGATGGAGCAAGTTTTAACATTACTTGAATGATGGATTCCATTATTGTTAACACAAACAGAAATATGTAGCCATTGCTTTCAATGAGGTGCCAGTAGAGAAGAGAATCACCTGAAAGATGAAACGCGTTTTTGAGGTCGAACTTATTATTGAATAATTGACAATACACATTAGTGTAGTCTCGTAGTTCTCTGTTACTTGTGCAATAACATCCATACTATACCGGTAGGAATGTGAATGAATACCAAAGTTGGAAAATTACCATAGTACCAGCAATTTTCATGAGGATATTTCTAGAACTCCCGAAGAACTCTAACATGATAGGAATGGAGCTTGACATGAAGAGGACGTCCATTCAGTGCTTAGTAAGTCTCCAAATAGTATGCTTTTCATTCCAGTTGTGAGCAGGACTAGGAGAAATGAACCAGCTGAGGAATGGACGTGGCTCTATCAAGCGCAGGAATTCATCAAGCGAACATATCCCGATTGGGGGACGGAACACCCAACTCGCCTCGTCCCGCCAGTGAGGGATTTCAAGGAATGGATTGACTCTTCGAAGGATGATGGTGAGAAAGCCGAGAGGACCCTGATGCATCGCCTGTATGAGATGGGGCGAAAACTGAAGATACCAATGTTCATCACATTTAACCGTGACTTTTCCCATACTATGAAGAAAAAGGACGTTGGGGGAGGCCTTGAGAGGACGCTGGAAATAGGAGAACAAGATTTAGTTCTTATACATCGCGATTTTGGGGTTATCTTCATAGAAGTGAAAAACCTACAAACCAAGAGCACGGGGAAAGCACTCGCCAATACTGTGAGAAGGAACATCAAATTAGCCAAAGAGCAGCTGGAAAAGGATGTCAATAGTCTGGAAGCTGCCATGAGAGAATGTGGAGTGGAGGACATACACGTGTCCCTCCCTATAGTAGCACTCACAAATGTGAAAAGAACTGACATAGGAATATCATCTGCTGAAACCAACATATTCATATGCGAGGAAGACTGCCAGTCAGTAGCGACCATGGAGCGATGGTGGCAGGAAGACATTCTCCAATCTCGTCATCTCCAAAGCCTCTCTACTACCGCTGAAGTGTACCTGCAACTACTTGCTATGTAAGTTAAATGGATGTTCACAGCTCTTGATATAAGTCGATCAAAGTTACACTCGCATGAATTTCAGCGACATATGAGTGGAGTGTGACCAGGGAAAACGAATGTGCAGTCAATTTACAACATTGATTCTTTAGCATAACCTTAAGAATGTCTAGAATGCATGGCTTTCCCTGACATATTTATAACGTCTCGAAACTTCGTAATATCTTACAGATACATCGCACCAGTCTATGTCACCCCTGCTTACACAGCCCGAGCGAAAACACAGACGCTGAATTTCCTAACAGAAGACAAGTTGGACATATTAATTAACGGGCCGAAAAAGTTTGTGTTCAAAGGAGCAGCTGGGACCGGGAAGACCTGGCTACTCCAGGAAAAGATCCGGAACATCGTCATGTCTTGGTTCTCACTAGGACCCATCGAAGACCGAGATGAGAAAATCCTTCTCGTATGTGCGCATCTTCTGCTGACGGAACACTTGGAGAAGACTCTTCCTGACCTTCTCTTCACGTCCGTCATGGCCACGCTCAGCAAGTGGATCGACGAAACAGAAGTAGAAAGAGAGAAGGTGCGAAAGATTCTGCAGAAAAATATTATTATATGTTCCTTGGGGATTCCAGAGTCACGACTAGGGGTTCGTCATTGGGAGGAGGATGACGCACAAGACGACCAAGTATCCAGAGTCCACGAGGTAATAGAGAATGATAAACTCTCGGTAGCGACTTTGACCTCAAGGATGAAGTATGCAAGTTGGGAAATACTCCTGTACTATAACTTGCTCAAAATCTCTGTGGCCACCCTCCAATCGGAAGAGAGAGGGAGATGGCCACAGGTTGTTCAAATCATACACGGATACTTCCAGTCCTTCACTCCGTCCATTCTGGCCTTGCGTGCATTGGCCAAAGGCACCAGAATGATGTATATTCAGGAAACGAAAAACCTGCACGCGCATATCGGTGAAAACCCCGCCATTAAGTATTCACTGAGGGGAATCATGGGAAGGCTGGGGGAATTCTCTGCCCGAGTGGTTGAACTCCCTGCAATCACTCAACAAGCCTTCCTAAAGGATCTGGAAAATATTCTAAAAAATCGAGAGCCGCCTTTCCACCACATATTCGTGGACGAAGCCGAAGACTTGTGCACTTTTTACGATCAATACGGCTCGATTGTACTTCGTTCACTCCTCAAAGGAGGTAATGGATACTTCTGGCAGGCTTATGACCCGTTTCACATGGCGATGCCTCCTAATGCCGTAAAATCTGATTTGGAATCGGCTCATCCTTTGTATGAGGTTATGAGGAACCCAGAATCCGTCTTTGAGAAATGGACTGGAGAAAACCTGTCACAACGGAGAGACATATCCACCCTCTTCAACTACGAAGACCCAACATACAAAAAGAAAGAAGTCCGACTGGGCCACAAGGTACGTGGCCCCAACGTGGAACTCTTTCCCGACATCCCCACCTCTCGTCTAACCGAAACGATACAGGGAGTCATAGGAGACAATTACGGCGTTGGGTGCAAGGTCGGGGACATCGCCATCCTCATCACCGACGAAGCGGATATCCTCGTCCATGCAGACCGACTGAGGAAGGAAATGGAAGAATACCTCAAAGACTCTTCCAGCAGCGTCCTAGTCGCCAGTGCTGGAGCCGTCAAGGGTCTTGAAGCTCCCATCGTGTTCCTCATCACCAATAAAAGAGCTAAAAGGATAAGCGACTACTATCTAGGAGCATCGAGGTGCACATCACGACTGCTTGAGATCGAATTAATTGCCAGTGAAGAAGAGGACGAAGCAGCAGTAAGAGCAATATTCGAGTCCCCACAAAATACTTTGCCTGATGCTGCCCCTCAGGAAGCGAAAGACGAAGTTGAAAGAATATTGCGGATTGCATTTATGGGTGATAAGCTTATGGAAGGGGAAACCGAAACTAAGTGATGGAATGCATTTCCCAGAGGAAAAAACGAACGAATGCCTAGAAGGACTCTTTGAAGGCAAACCGTGTTTGTCTTCCATGAGAAGATCCAAGAATACTGTGTTTTCAGGTAATTATTATGTAATGGCTCCCACAAAAAATATATTGAAGTTCCTCGTGAAGTTCATGCAATCTTGAGGAATCTTTGTCTCGCTCTGAATGATGTATTGTCATGCGGTGCTGAAAAACTGACGCAATGTCATCGTGTCCTTTGTTTTCTGCAAAGGTTTTGTGATTTAGTCATACACTTCCCCGTAGGGAAAAATTATTAGTATTATTTAAGAATTCTGATGGGGAAGGTGATCCATCGTCACGTAGTCCTTCAGAGTAGAGCGTTTAATAAAATGAACAAATTATACAAATGCCAAACTAAAGCCACTATTACAAATCCAGGCATCACTTTAAAAAAAGTTGAAACTTGTAAGTAGCGCGTACCAATCTTAGTTCTACATACAGCTGATTTCATTCTCAACTTACCACAAAGAAGGTTCCTCAAATGTTAATGACCCCTTGGTTTTTTTTTTTAAATTTTAATAGTTTAATGTTAAATTCACTTCTGAACCGAGAAGTTAAAAGTTACCTACATTGCATATTTCGGCGTTTGTGCGAATACATTTCTTGGAACATTACTGTACAATTGATCATTTCAGAATGTTCGCAGGGCGTCATAGGCGTGGATTGTCTGTCGTCGCCTTGTATGGTGCTATTATTTCCAGCAAATACCAAATCACATCACACTTTTCTCTGCGAATGTGATTTCGGAATACGCCTGTACTATTTACTATATTTTTCCATTCCCCTTTCAATTCCTTATCAGATTTAATGTCCTTTGCGGCTGCACGAAACATTATGTTTTTTATTTATTGATGAATTGCTATGCCATGAAATTTGAGTCTTACACTTGAATTACCTGGGTGAAAATAACATTTAAAGTGAGACATCATAATCATTTGATTTTTACCTTGCCAAATCCATTAATCCATCTAATACATACAGACGATCGTGAGTGACAGACTCTAATTCTAACCATGTCCTAGAAGTGATGAGAGGATGACATTTGGGAAAAGAATTGTTGTCGAACATTTGCTATGCGTCGGGCACTTTGGCAACCTTCTATAGCCATAATGCTCACGCCGGCGCCTGCTAGCCCGCGTTCCTTTTGTCTGCTACCACTTTACGCACGCGCACTACTTACATGCATTACTCCTACTTCAACAGACCTGTGTAGACCATGCTTCCTAGCGGTTCCTTTGGGGGCCTGTGTGCAAAACGGTAATATTGCCATGTACCGTTTTCCAATCTTGACCGGTTTGTTTCCAATACACCTTCGAGATACAGGATGTTATTCATTATGCACTTTGTACAGATAAATTCGGGTAGAGCTCGGTAGGGTTACCGTCCAGTTTTCTCGGACACGTCCTCCTAGTTCGCCTTCAAATATTTGTCTGAAAGAAAGGCGTATTTTTGCTTTTCCGTAAGGTAACGTGAGGTATAGGATGACATTCCATGCCAACTGACCTAGGGATGACGCTTAACCATCTTTGAAAATTTTTTGAAAAAAAAATACACTGTCTACAGGTCTGGCATGGAATTGAAAAATCCAAAATTTTTAGTTTATCTCCTCATTTGTAAATGATATATATGAATTTTAGGAAAATCTGTTTTCAGGCGCGTGCGACCCCACGGGCGAATTTCATCACTCTCAAAGTATGCAACTTGGAAATGCATGTAATGGCTCATATGAAGCGTCTGAAATAGTAGGATTCACTTTTTACCGCGCAGTCTTATTAGGTTTTCATGAAACCTGAGTTACATGTATTTTTCAAATTGTACTAATTTTTTTTAGAATATTACCACCCCATTTTCTTTCGTGGAAGTCAATAAAACAAAACCAAAATTTCAATGCTAAGAGTCCACCTCTGGCTAATATTTATTTGGCTCGTGCATTCCCACATGTCAAAAATGAAAGTCGAACATCCCATTTTCTGATTTTTGCGAAATATGACATCATTTTTTACATTGTGGAGGTCCAGATGAAAATATGTTTCATAGGTCATACTAAAGGGCATTCCACGATCTATTTGGCGACATGAGTTTCGTTGTGTTACAGCCAAGTATCGAAATGTTATGAGTTTTTTCCATTTTCCATTCCATTCCGTTCCATTTTCACAAACCCCCTAATTTTTAGCTGTCACCTGTCAAATACTGACGTTCAAACTTTGACCGTTCAGAAATGCCGCGAAATTTAAAATGACACCTACTTTTGGGAAACCCTTTATTAATTAATAGTTCTTGCATTTTTATTTATGTATTTACTCCCATAAATAAAGTTGCAGAGGGACTTATTGCACCCTAACTTGTATTACAATTCAATCGGATCATTTTCGTGGTGATAAAGGTTTTCACAGAAAATAATTGATTTGTTGTACAAGATGTAGCACATTCCTTTCATTGGAACAACACCCAATCTACAGTTCACTCTATTGTGGTCTATCATCAATCGACATCAACTGATCTTGGGGCGACCAGCTATGCTGTCTTTTCTGTCACTTAAGCATTATCAACATGATAATGTTTAAGTGGGCTGCTTCCAGAAGGCGTTCCTCAGCCGTTTCAAACGAAGTCACCCATATATCCAGACGTTGCATTACTGCACTGATGGGGCGGCAGTGCAGTTGATTATGGGAGGAATGGGAAAGTCTGAGATTATTCACCACTCCAGTCAATCGATGTTTCTTTCAGTACCGCTTATACGGTGACTTTAAGGGAAACTAGCAATAAAAGTCCATCTCTAAGATCAACATTCAATCATGGACTCGACCCATGCACAAATATATTCATGACCTCTGGGAGATTTGCCCACCAATCGACCAACATTAGAAAATTGCATGATAAAGAATTCATACAAGTTAACATGCATAAGGAAAAGGAGTAATTACCCATAGGAGCATTACCCTTCACGTTTTAACAGTACCTAAACATTGTTTTATTGGAGTTGAGATGCACACCATCAATATTTTATGCTGCGCAAGACGTGACTGGAAAGTCAGTTTTTGAAATGGATGTGAAGGTTATTTGTCTCTTGAATCACTGTATCCATTTTCTCAGTTGTAAACAAATATTTTAACATGGGTAAAACTTGTTCACAGCAACTAAAAATCAATATTATATGCCTAACTAACATTTAAACGACATTTCGGACAAGCACTTCATCCTGATCATCGTTGCCGCTCCTTGGAAATGTGGAATTGACGTCGATCTGCATATACCTTGACATTTAGTGATGTCGATGTCAGTTACATTTTTAATAATCGTAAATCCATTAAGTTTCAGTGAAATTATTTGACCTGTTCCACATTTTAAAATATGCAATAAATGAAAATTGGGTGACCCGCATCTCCAATACAAGTGTAAATGGCATTATAGTATCTCAAATTTTACTACAAATATTGGCAAATGAAGCAGTTACAGCAATTGCACCAACTGCAGGCGAATATTTTCCTTACCGTCCCCTCCTGTCTCCATATTCCCCAAATGCTAATGGATTGCGTTTCCTTCAAGATCCTATCAGAGATCGAATCGATGAAAACGAATGCATTCTGAAAGCGTGAACATTACTTCGTGACAACTCCATCGAGAAAATTGTCTTCTGAATCCGAAATGGAAATTGATTAGGGTTGAGTAATTTTAACGATTCGGAAATCGTCACTGGGTCCTTTGGTCCACTCGCATCTCGCAATGACGGCTCAGTCTGGCGCTCTTTTTGCATGGACAGAGCATGGAAAAGCCTGCTGTGAACTTTTTCTTCCTGGTTATTAATTTAATTTTTTCCATCTTATTTGTCGGAAGCGACGTCTGCGACCGGGTGCCGAGCGGCTGCGTCCCGGGACTGCTGCTGTGCGGCGACGAGGACGCCACGCCGACTTGCGTCCATCAGGGGACGCCCGACGTCAAGGTCGGGAATTCCTCGTGGGTCGGCGAGGGGTGTCGCTTATTCGTTGTCGGGATTCCCTGCCTGGAAAGTGAAAGTATCGGTCCCCTGCTTCGTGGGCTGATCTCGCCGCAAGATTTTCTCGTTTTGAATCTCACGTCAAAAAAAAAAACAGAAATTAGCTGAAGAAGTGTTCGCGAAATTGGACCTGGACGAATTCGCGAAATCACAGATCTTCGTTGCCGAATCCTACCAACTGATTGAATCAGAATTATCCACTCGGCTTTTCCAATCTGAAATCAAGGCTTTTCAAGGTGAAGAGTACATCGTCGCCATCTTGCCTTATATGCCTTATGTCATCTTCGATTTCGAAGTGGAAGATGGTTCCTACTACATGAAAAATGTCACTCGAGAGGGATTCGAGACCAAAATCCTGTCTGCCGCATCGTTGAAGATGAACTTCACGTATCGATTGATGACCGCCCCGGAGAATATATGGGGACTGCACTGGGACGAGACGGAACAGCCGACTGGCATCATCGCGACGCTGTTGGACGGCCGCGCCCACATCGCCATGTCGGGCCTTCTCCAGACCCTGGAGTTGGAGGAACACGTGGATTTCTCCTATCCAGTTAGATCCGACTGTCTGAGTATATTGACCCGACCCACCCCCACGATTCCATTGTGGAAGTCCGTTTTCAAGCCCTTGGAGCCGCAGGTGTGGGGTCTCGTCTTCCTCTGCGGGATCCTTTCCGGCCTCATCCTCTGCCACCTCGATAACGCTTGGCTTCGGCTCCGGGGATGGCAACGGCGGAAACGCCTCGACCAGACTTAATAGCTGTGGGAAGTTGGAGAAGACAGGCACCCGTTACCAGGTCATGAAAAACCGGTGTCAAGAGCGCACAAAACCTAAAAGAAGTGCTTGTTCTCCATCGTCATCACCACGGCCTATATGTCAAGTCTTGTTTCATTTCTCAGCTGGCCTCCCCTCGAAAAACCCATCGATTCGGTCAGAGATCTCATTTCCAGTGGATTGCCTTACGGGAAGCTTCTCTGGTGCGAGGGCATCGACGACGTCATTCGGAAATCCGAAAACCCCTTATATCAAGAATTGGAACGAGGGATGACATGGTTCGACGTGACGAACGACTGGCTCAAAGACAGTCTTCATCCCGTCGAAGAGGAGTTCACGCGCCGAAGCGATCAGTTCGCGTTCATCGAGCGAACGCTCGACCTCAGGTACTATCAAGCGAATGCGGGACGGGGGAAGTTCAGGATCGCCAAGGAAGGATTTCTCTGCTCGAACATCGGCTTCGCCTTTCCGAGGAGGAGCGTGTTGAAAGCCTCCGTGGATCGAGTATTACTGCGACTGCGAGAGACCGGCCTCCTGGACAAGATGTGGGCGGACGCCACGATTCGATCCTTCGGGGCCAGCGTGGACTTCTCGCCTCCAGACGACGCACCGCCCGAGCCCCCCGTGATCCTGAGCATGGCCATGATGCAAGGCGCATTCCTTGTCTGGTTCATCGGACTTGGGCTGGCGCTCGTCGCCTTCGTCCTCGAACTGGCTTACTATAAATGCAAGAATAGCATTGTGTAGTTGCCATTCTCTGTTTCAATTTCCTATGTTAGCATTTCACATTATATCCGATTTATTTAATTTATTTGTGAAAGTTCCTCATACTACTATCAATATCTTTATAATGCGAGTTTGGTCGCGCCTTCGGCGCTCCATTATTTATGATAATTATTATTTCATTTCAAATATCCGTTTCGTCCGATCTGGCAAAATTCCTGGCGTCATAGACATATTTATCACTTTGTCAAATTACTGCGCGTGATGTGACGTCGTTCAGAAACTAACAAACAGGGATATTGGTATAATATAAAATGGTCGTTCCGAGAGGTGTCTCTGTATGGTATTTCAGCTATCTATGCCCGCTCGAATCGTTTTAATGTGAAAATTCTTTGAAATGAGCTGCACAATATTTCTATCGCGTTGAAATGGAACTAATAAATAAACTAATAAAGCTTAAATTCCCTTGGAATAATCTTTTCAAAATAATCTCAACAAAATTTTAGTTTTCTGTATCTCCCTCATTACTGGAATAATACATTTCGTGGGAAATTTTAAGCCAAAAGCATATCCGAAAATAAAATATCCCAAAAGGAGTGTTATTTATTGAATATGCGTCTGGGCAGGTAACATTTCTTGAATCACCCTGTATATATATGTTTTTTTGGAATCCTTGTTCAATTTTGAATATATCCCATATACTATTTTTTCCTGATGTCATATGATGCTGAAAAACTTAAATTCAATGATGACACCTGTGCTATTACGTTTCGAGCTCATGATTGCAGAGCTGATTTCATTACCCATTCATGGGTTTTGAAAAATAATAAACGCTCAGCTTCTCTCTGATGCAGCCCTATTTTTCAAAGCTTTGATTACGCAGCAATTGCTGAAAGGCTCAGGGATTGTTTTTTTGTGGAAATACGGAATGGCCAGGAAACTCTCCTGACCTGAATGTGGTTGAGAACATGGGGTTATCCTGAAAGACCGAGTTGAGGCTCATGCACATGGAGGGCAAGCTGCATTGATTCTCCCGGGAAGCCTTGCAAAGCGACATCATTAGGGTACTGAGGGACATACTGATGATACCGAACTCTTTACCTAACTCTTTTCATCTCATCCCGCTTGTATTAAAGCTCTTAAATATAGAGCGAGATGGATTGGCTGGTAATTTTGTGGAAGTTGGCATCGACATGGAAACTCCTAACTGCAACTTAAGCAAAACCTCACTCAGCAAATACATGTTGTGCATGAGGAACAACTTCGAATTGTGTTCGAATTGTATAAAAGATAAAGGATCTTTATCTTCTAAGGCCTCCATGGAAAATCCAATAGAAGATCCTTAGCAGAGCTATGATCATTTCTGGTCTGTCTCATTAAGTTGGGATCACATCTAAGGAACGCAATATCCTTTTCGTTGGTCCATCGTCTTCTACATACTTCACGACCTGTTTTTTTCAGCATATCTCCCTAGGGCATAATTGCTTCCTTCAACAGGGAATCTGTCCGTTAAGTCGGTCCTCCAGATATGAGTAGACTCAAATGAACGAGACAGCTTGTCGTCGCCGACCTACCCTCATCAATGAAGGCTTAGCGTGATCGTCTAGTCCTCATATCTCACCGTCTCAGACGGGTGTTCTTGTATTTTTACTCAACCATATTCTTCATTTCTTATTTTTCCTCGTCTTCCCAGTTGCTTGGATTTCGAGTCGAGCGATGGCTGCTTTTATGAAGCGTCACATTATCGTTCTTCTACTCAATGTACGCTTTTTTTTAACTCTTCCTATCGTTAATTATTTATTTTCTCCTTGAATGATGTTGCCGAATTCGGATATATAATTACCCAGCACTGTCGCGCCCAGCGAAAGAATGAGAGGTTCATGTTTGCGTTCAGACTTGATCTTTATGGGACAGTCCTTGTCTTGCCCACCACACAATGCTTGACTTCCCTTAAAAAAGTCCTCTTGTTTTGTTCTTATTGAAGCCATCTATCTTTTCCGTTTATACTTGACTGGGGCTTACGACATTACGAATTGAAGAGTTTTGGGAAAAAGCATGCACCCTTTTCTTCACCCTTGAGCAATAGCTTGCATTGATTTACCTTCCCTTTAGGATATCAAAACACCATAATGACATGTTAGTTTTTTCATCTTGTTTCCTTATATTGAATATAAATTTAAGGCAGGGTATCACTTTTCATAAGTCATCAATTTTAATATTGATGAAAGCCTCATTGACCCATTTATTCCATTGATAAATGTAGGGCTAGAGTTTGAGATATTTTTTACATCAAGGAGCAGCCTCCCAATAAAGTGTTACATGAGCCTGTGCTTTCTATGTCATCCTTGATGGGCATAGCATGGCTAGGAAAAGCAATAATAATTAAAATACGCTGATTGTTGGTGGGCGTGCAAGTAAATGTGATGAGGGGGTGTGTGGTAAAGAAAGGATTGATGCCTGCAAAGGTTCCTTCATAAGTATACTGTATTCATCTATTTTGAAACATGAAAGTGGAGTTGCGGTCATCTGTTTTCCTTCAAGATGCAATTTCTCCAATGCCTCTCACCAGACCACCATTAGTTCAACTGTTTCACAACTGGAACATAAGTTTCAGCATGGAGATACCATTATTGTATGTACGAGGTATGTGCCCCAATGGAGGATTTTCAAAATGAGGAATAGGCCACTTATATGCGTATATGTTGGGGTAGGATATAGAAGAACTGATGAAATAGCCGGTATAAACTCGTGATTCTGGACATATACAAGTCTATGAGAAGTTGTCTGGTTTTTCTCAGAATAATTATTTGAGCTGTACATTGTCCTGTTACAAAGTTTGCAGGTGGATCATTTCACCTCAATGCAGCAATGGTATGTGCTATATCATCCCAAAAGTCAATAAGAGTAGTTTGCCCGATTTTGGCCTCAAGCCAATTTGGATTAAATTCAAATAATAAAAAAAATTGGCTTCAAGAGCTAATCTTTTGAAAGGGCTCTCAGATACAAGGTATATCTGGCAGAGATGCTTACGTAAGGTTTAAAGGCTCTAAAAAAAAACTACGGACTTTTTCCTTCATAAAAAGTGCCGTAGCACGGAGATAGGGAGCCCTCCGTTTAAACAACAGCGCCCTCAAACAGTATATAGCTCAATCTTGTGGGTCCACAAGAATCTCTTGGACTCATGAACTCCTCTGCCAAATATCAGCTGCATCCAACTGTCTCTTGAAAGGTTATAGCCAATCAAAATAGGGTGGTGAGATAATGAACGAGTAGTCAGGAATTTAGAACCAGGGGTTGGGGGGCCATTTTGTGCTGCCAAACCGCAACCCCCACTCCATTCAATCAAAGCACACTTTTATTGACCTCTGCCTGAAGTACATACATGTCTCTTTTTGTATGCGGGCTATTCTCAAAATAATTCGACCGTTTGCCAAATGCTATTGAGTTTTGAGACGGTCGAGCACATATCATTACCTCTCTTGAATGATCCACTTATCAGCACCTGTAATTCACCTCTAAATGGGCACTGCATGACCTAGGCAGGGGTGCTGAAAAAAAAAGCTGGCATGCACCCCAACATCTTGTAACCGTCGAACGTCTCAGTGAATGTAATTTTATTTTTACTGCTTTCATTAATTGTGCTTCTCCCGTAGAAAACGGTAGAGCGTTGATTTTTTATCACTCTGCATGCCATATACATATTGGATTAAGTTAACCAACCGTTATTCATGGTGGAGCAGGGAACATTTGTTTTATTATGTTCCATATGTGTATGAATAAAGTAAAAACTAATAAGGGCTGAGAGAAACTCACTTGAAGAAAGTTTTTTTTGTCATTTAGTTCGAGGAGGGTGTCTTCATTAATTGCCACATTTTCTGTTGTGACCTCCTGGATATTCAAGCACCCTACCTGTTGCATGGCATGCCACATTTGTTGATGCCCTGCTAAGGTATCAATGATAACAAGATTTATCCTGCTTCGGGAGATGCTTTCCATCAGCCAGGAGTCTTCTACATTCACGGTGATTATGGTGTCGACTGTACTACCCCGAAATTCCCTCGGGTGATTAAATATAAGATTCCTGGATTGGTCTTTGGCGATTATCTGCAGTGTCGCCATGAGTGTCTCGTCTGATACCAGCACGTGCAGGGGATCATCGCCCAACTCTTCGTTCATGACGAAACAAAAGCAGACGAGGACTCCCAGAAAGGGTTCACAATGCATCTGCCCCATGCATAAGTTCCCAAAATGACGGGTTG